TTGGACTTTTGGTTAAAACTTGAACATTTAAATTCATTTTAATACATTTATAATAGATTCTGTAAATTAAAGCAATGTTATGTACACTTTCTAACATATTAGTAAATTCTCCAAATAGTTGAATATTCAATGTTAAAGCTTTTAATATGTGAGGATCACGTAAACTTAATATAAAATCAGGAAAACAATTAAAATGGACAGGACCTTTATGGAGGCCGGATTCCATCATACCCATTACACTTGCATTATAATTAATTAATCGGGTATCTCTTAAACATAATAAAACAGAAGTATTTTTACCTTGTTGAGTTAATGGATTTATTCCTACTTGGATAAATCCTAAATGAATAAAATTATGACCAGCTTTGAGATGTTTTTGGATAGCATCTTTAGTTAATAATTGACAGGTTTCTCGTGGTTTACTTAAAGCATAAACTTGTTCAACAGTTTTGACTTGTAAATCAACGTTAAAAGTAGACTGTAAAAAACTAGTTTTATAAATTTCTTTAGTGTTTACTTTAGGGATATTCCAACCTAAATCAATTTTTAACATCTTGATATTCATGTTCTTCTTCATTTAATACCAATTCTGAACTAGGTATAGGAGCAAGAGTTGTAGATCTGGAGCTAACTGAAGAATTACTTCTGAATAATCGACTCATTATGATTTTATAAAATTAAATCCAATTCCAAAATTCAATTATAACTTATCATGTTTCCTTATACGGTGTGTTTACTCATACCCTTTCCGGGAACCCCTATATCTTACAACTGCCTAATCCTAAGGACTTACTCTGGATTGGGACGAAAGGTAGATGGCTACTGACAAAGTGGAAAACAAGAGATAAGTTAAGCAAGAATAAGGAAACTAGAATTTAATTGAAGAAAATCAAATGGGAAGGTTAAGCAGAGATAATAATTCAACAATAAGTACTTATCAACAACTTGGCTCTGATACCAAAAGAAGGGCAAGACCAAGATGACTTGCTGTGACTGATAATTTTATTGTTTAATAGTTCATTAATTTCTTTCAACACCTTATCAAGTATTAAATAGTATAAATAATATGAATAGTAGTATAATATTAAATAGTATGAATAATATTATCGAGCTCGAGCCTAGTTTCTTATCGAGTTAAACTTGAGTTCAATAAACAAGCTTGATAAGTAAACGAGCTAAGCTAGAGCTTAGTAAAGTTCGGCTTGGCTCGGTTCGTTTGCAGCTCTACTCACAGCATCATCTCAGTTTCAAACCCTTACACACACACACTCTCTCTCTCTGTAAACATGTTATCAACAGATATTGAGCAAGGTGAGTTATTATCTAACATATTTTTTCTCTTTTTGTGCTCTTGGATCCCTTTCTTCAATTTCCCGATTGCCCTCAACACCAAATGGAGTCCAATATAGACCCTATAGATATAAACATCATTTCTAGAAATTATTTACTTATAGTATTTTTTATTACAAAGATATATTTTAATATTTACTTCTAATATCTTTGATTACAAAGATATATTTTTAGAAATTATTTACTTCTAGTATTTTTTATTACAAAGATATATTTTAATATTTACTTCTAATATCTTTGATTACAAAGATATATTTTAATTTTTGGTCTGAAAGTTCAAAACAATCAATAGTTTTGGTTTAATTATGAAAGCTTTAAAAAAATTATCCAATCCTTGCATCATTTTATTATAAATATTTAATGTTTTTGATGAACAAGATCTATTTGTTTAATATAGATCTTAATGATCTATTAACTTCTGAGCTAAATTGATTGACTAGTTGTAAAAATAATGGTGATAAAGAAGAGGTTTTTTTTTGGTTTGGTATTGAACAAATTTGTGTTAAATATGTTATTTATTTTTTATTTTTTTAGGTTTGAGCTTAGATATTGATCTATTGTTGTTGTTGTTGATTATCTTATTTTTCTTTATTTTTGTTATTGTTGTTGTTGATTGCAACAGATAAAAAAAAAAAAGAAAAAAAAAAGGTTTTGGATCTATGTATATCTATGTAATATTTGAGTGTTGGATTCAACATATAGAAAAATAAAATTGGCACAGATAACAAATTGAACAAATAAATTTGTATAGATAAAAATCAGAACAAATAAAAAAATGAACAGATAAATTTTTTACAGATAAAAATTAGAACAAGAATTAATACATATTTCAATAGATAAGGGGAACAATTGAACAGATAGGGGAACAATTGAACAGATAGGGGAACAAATTTTGGACAGATAATAAAAAAATGAACACATTTCAACAGATATTGTTTTGACATATAAGAATAAAGAGAAACCTACAGAATTTGAATAGATTGAGAGAGATAAACCCGCAAAATTTGAACAAATAGGGAAACAAATTGAACTAATCAGGTGAAAAAATTGAACCGATAGAAAAAAATTGAATAGATAGGAAAAAAAATTGAACAGATTGTCAACAGATAAAAAAAGTCAATAGATATATTAAGAGGTAAAATTATAAACAAAATATCCTTTAGGATAAATTACATTTACCTGCTCTGAGATTTCTGACAAATACAGGGACCTTCCCTGTGATTTGAATAATTACAGTAACTTCCCCTGCTTTACCTGACAATGTCAAGATTCTCCCATTTTGTTAAATTGTTCCAAACGGTGTCACTTTTTCTATAATAAATTACTTTATTGCCCTTCCTTTTAAAATATTAAAAAATATATTTGGATTGGAGGACAAGTTTGGAAGAAACAAACAGTGTTTGGAACAGTATTTTTTTTAAATATTAAAAAATGTTTAAAAAAATTATTTTTTTATTTTAAATATATATTTTTTATTAAATATTTTTAAATATTTTATTTTATTTTGTAAATATTTTATTTTTTTTAATTTTAATATTTTAAACTCAAAACACAACTCCATACTGAAATTGTAACCAAACACATAACTCAAAACTCAATTCAAATATTATTTTCAAACCTCATAACCATATACATAACTCGAAACTCTATACTACTTTTGAAACTATACACTCAAATTGTAACCAAATAAATAACAAAAAAAAATTAAAATATTTAAAAATATATTTATAAAATAAAACATATATATTTAAAATACAAAAATAAAAAAAATGTTTAAAATAAAAACTACATATTTAAAATAAAAAAATAATTTTTTTCACATTTAAAATATTTAAAAAAATACAGCACATAAATGTATGAAATATAGTGCACATTAAAATAAATAAATAAATATTTAAAATATAAACTATTTACCCTAAAAAAATAAATCCAAAAAATTTCAAAATACAACTCAAAACTTTTTTCAAAACTTATAACCAAACAAATTTTTTCTTTTCAAAACTCATAACTCAAAATATGACTCTACACTCAAATCATGATTCTAAAAATAATTTTAAAAAATAAAATAAAATAAAAATAATATTTTTTTAAAAAAATATAATAATCAACATATAATAAAAAATGATCAAAACTTTTTATTTGATATACTTACTTTCTGTATCATTGAGTTATTATGATAATATTTGGACATCATTTGATTTTTTTTTCCCCCTTATAATTTGACTAAAATGTGTGCAATTTTATTTTGAGTTTTAGGTTTTTGAATTTTGAGTTGTATTTTAAATTTTTTGAATTTATTTTTTAAAAATATTAAAAAATGTTTAAGAAAATATAATTTTTATTTAAATTTTTAAATTTTTTTATTTTAAATATTTTATTTTATTTTGTAAATGTTTTAATTTTTTTAGTTATGTATTTGGTTACGATTTGAGTATAGAGTTTTAAAAGTAGTGTAAAATTTCGAATCATGTATTTGAATATAAGTTTTGAAAATAATTTTTGAATTGAGTTTTGAGTTATGTGTTTGGTTACGATTTGAGTGTGGAATTATGTTTTGAGTTTAAAATATTAAAATTAAAATATTTACAAAATAAAATAAAAATATTTAAATAAAATTTATATATTTAAAATAAAAAATAAAATTTGTTTAAACATTTTTTAATATTTAAAAAAAATAAATTCAAAAATATTGTTTCAAATACTGTTTCTTTCTCTCAAATTTGTTATCTAATCCAAAAATATTTTTTAATATTTTAAAAGAAAGGACAATAATGTAGTTTACTATAGGGAAAGTTACGTTGTTTGGAACAATTTGACAGAAGGGGAAAATTTTGACATTGTCAGATAAAACAGGGAAGATTATTGTAATTATTCAAATTACATGAGAGATTCCTGTATTTGTCAAAAATCTAGGGGAGGTAAATATAATTTACCCCTATCTTTTAAAACAAATAAAAAGATTTCTCAGCAAACTATTTCACAAATGGTGGATCTCTTACAAACAAAAAATATTCACTTACAGCATGCCTTATACCCTTCTTAGACTAGGGCTATGGTCATGTTTGGTAGGACTTATTTCCAGCTTATTTTAGTTTTTAGCTTAATTTAAGTTATTTTGATGTGTTTGGTTCAGTTTAACAATACAGCTTATAACTTTTTGTAAGTCACAAATCAACTTATTCTTTGAGTGGGGGATGAGAAACTTAATTTATAAGTCAAAAATCAGCTTATGTTCACAGTTATAAGCTATAAGCTGTTAGCCTATAGGTTATAATCACTTTCTCACAGCTCTACCAAACGGGGCCTATGTTTGACATGAATTTTTTTGATTATTTTAGTCATAAAAAAATAAAATAAATTAAAAAGTCAATAACACAAACGTCACATTCAAGTCGTAATTATTTTATTTTTTTTTCTTATAAAAGTTTAAAAAAACTAAAAAAATTCATCCCAAATAAATTTTTTTAACCTCAAACTAAAATGGTTGAAGGCTGAATTTAGAATAAATTATAAATATACCCCTAAAATTTAATTAAAATATAAATCACCTCTATAATTTTAAAAATTACATTCTCCCTTTTATTTGGGATCAATTACTCTACTTTAAATAAAAAATTATTTTATTTTTTTAAATTTTAAAGTCGAGCTGGGGAGGAAAGGAAATACATGTCCCTGCTGCTGCAATTAACTAAAACTGATTCATGGGAGAGTTTTTCAATCTTCAGACTCGAAGGAGCTGTTGTTGACCAATCCCTCTATTCCTACACTCTCTTCCTACTTCTCTCCCTTGGATTGCAAATTATTATTATTGTTATTATTGTTTTCCCATTGATTTGAGTTTCAAAGATGTTAACAGTCAGACGCATAACCAAAATCAGGAGGACTCTTCCCACTACCTTCACCATCATCACCTCCGAATCCAACAACAACAACAGCAACCCATTCATCCATTCTGCAGCCACGGCAGCAACAACCACCGTTCACGGCGGCTGCGGCGACCACGAATTGCGTGCCAAGGACGTTGTTATTTCCTTCAAAGACTGGTTCGCCTCTCGAAACAACGCTCTGCTCGACCGGATCTTCGATATCTTAGGCGGCGGAGGAGGACTTGACATTGGCGGTGGCTGCGCTGCTGCTTCAGACGCCGCCTTCCCCTCCCGGAACTCCGCCGATTTGGCTCTTTCCCAACTGGGTCTCCGCTTATCCGAAGCATTTGTTCTTGAGGTCTTGAATTACGGCAAAGATGTTCTCTCTTGCCTCAAGTTCTTCGATTGGGCTGGTCGACAACCTGGGTTTTACCACACTCGCGCCACTTTCAATGCCATTTTCAAGATTCTATCCAGAGCCAAGCTCATGTCTTTGATGCTGGACTTCTTGGAGAACTATATGAAGCAGAGATATGTTCACAAGGTTCGATTTTATGACACTCTTGTAATGGGTTATGCTGTTGCTGGGAAACCTGAGGTTGCACTCCAACTGTTTGGTAGAATGCGCTTTCAGGGTCTTGACTTGGATGGCTTTGCTTACCATGTGCTTTTGAATGCTTTGGTGGAGGAGAATTGTTTTGATGCTGTTGATGTGGTGGCTAACCAGATTGAAATCCGGGGATTCAAGAGCGAGGTTACACATTCTATACTCGTTAAGAATTTTTGCAAGAAAAATCAATTGGGTGAAGCTGAATCGTATCTTCGTGGATTGATGAGTGCTGGTAACGGATTGAGTGGACATTGTGTGAGTGTTTTTGTGGATGCCCTTTGCAAGGGCAATCAGTTTGAGAAGGCGGGTAAGTTGCTCGAGGAGTTTCGCCAGTCGGGTATGGTGGATGTGGAGCATGCTTATGGGGTGTGGATTAGGGACCTTGTTCAAGCAGGGAAGATAGACGGGGCTTTGGAATTCTTGCAGAGTAAAAAATCACTTGAAGGCTATGTACCCGAATTGTTTCGTTATAACATCTTGATTTGCAGGCTTTTAAAAGAAAACCGGCTTGAGGAAGTCTGTGATTTGCTGATAGAGATGAAGGAGCACCGAATTTCACCTGATGAGGTCACCATGAACACTGCACTATGCTTCTTTTGCAAGGCGGGTATGGTGGATGTTGCTCTCGAGTTGTACAAATCGAGGTCTGAGTTCGGGCTCTCCCCAAGTAGCATGGCTTACAACTATCTAATCAATACTCTGTGTGGAGATGGGAGCATTGATGAAGCTTATTGTGTTCTGAAGAATTCAGTTAACCAAGGTTATTTTCCTGGTAGAAAAACCTTTTCGATCCTTGCTGATGCCTTGTGCAGGGAGGGAAAGTTTGATAAGATGAAGGAGCTAGTTGTTGTTGCTCTAGAGCGAAATTTCATGCCAAGTGATTCAACATATGATAAGTTTATATCAGCTCTGTGTAGAGCTAGGAGAGTGGAAGACGGTTATTTGATACATGGGGAGCTCAACAGATTAAATAAAGTTGCTAGTAAAAATACTTACATAAACATGATACATGGTTTCAACAGGTCCAATAGGGGTGATATTGCTGCTAGGCTACTCATAGAAATGCAAGAAAAGGGTCACAATCCTATTCGGAAATTGTTCAGAACAGTGATTCGTTGTTTATGTGATCTGGAAAATTCAGAAAAGCAATTTCTCAAATTGCTGGAGATGCAATTGTCTCATCATGAGCCCACCTGTCAAGTTTACAATTTCTTCATTGATGGAGCTGGACATGCCGGAAAACCGGAGTTGGCTAGAGAAGTATTCGAGATCATGGTGAGAAGTGGTATAGAGCCCAATTTGAGTTCTGACATTCTGATGTTGCAGAGTTATATAAAGAGCGGAAAGATTTCTGATGCTTTAAATTTCTTTCGTGACTTGTCCAAGAGAAGAAAGATTGGGAAAAAATTGTACAACACCATGATTGTTGGTCTTTGCAAAGCCAACAAACCAGACATTGCATTGGAGATCCTGAGAGAAATGAGGGAGAACAAAGTGATACCAAGTCTCGAGTGTTATGAGGAGCTTGTAAAGTTACTGTGCTCAAATAAGAAATATAATATGGTGGTAAATCTTCTTGATGACGTGATAAAAGATGGCCGACATATTTCATCCTTTATGGGTAACGTACTTCTATTGCATTCACTGAAGAGTCAAGATCTTTATCAGGCTTGGGTTCATTCAAGAGATGTGCAAAATGAGACATCATCTCTTCGGATGCTTCACCAGCTAATTGGTGCATTCTCTAGTCGGAGAATGGAGCAAGATGTTAAGGACTTGGAAGAAGTGATTGAACAATGCTTCCCACTTGATATCTACACATACAATATGTTGCTGAGAAAACTAAGCATGAACCAAATGGACCATGCTTGTGAGTTCCTCAATAGGATATGTTGGAAAGGTTATGAGCCCAATAGATGGACTTATGACATCTTAGTGCATGGATTTTTCAAACAAGGTAGGACAACCGAGGCTAAAAGATGGGTGGAAGAGATGTTTCGGAAAGGGTTTGATCCAACTGAACGTACCAAATTATTCATGTAACGGATGGCTATGTATACAAAAATAGGTACAAGATGCTAAACATTTATAGTGCCTGTAGTTTGGGGCCTTCATTACATCCACAATTTGAAAAATTTCAAACTATCATATTTAATTATTTATTGTGTTCTTTTTCATATTTTCCTTCCAAAGGCAACCAAAATTAAAATAATAATGTTTTTTTCCTGGATATTGTTTTCTTTTTCATAGTTTCCTCCAAAAGACTTTGGTTTCTTATTGATATGCATTTGGAGTTTCATGGTGCTGCTATATGATGCTCATTTCCCTGATATGTGAGAAGGATAGATAAATAAGAGCTAGGAACCTACAACCAACAAGTAGAGTTATTAGTATTCTACCTTTTTTTATGCTTGATCCATAGTGTTTTTCCTTGTAATAAAGATTCATATAAGCTGTTCAAAATGGACAAGGAAGAGTTTGAGCTTTTGCAGGAATAATTTTTCCAATGATGGAAAGGAGAGTCAGAATGAAAGTTTTGCATCTTTGTTGATTTACATGTGTAGTTTGATGGAGTTGAGAGGATTTTGAGGAATAGGAAGTTTGGAATCTGATATGAACAAAGGAAAGAGATACCATTTCAGGTTTAGTTCATTGTCTCTCAAATATATCTTGCTTAGTTGCTTGGCATTTTTCTTTCAAGTATAATCATACTACTAAATATTTTAAATAGAAGATATAGGACTCAAAGGACAAGCAGTGCATTCTGTAAAGAATATGGATAATGACATAACAATATCTTTTATACAGTGCAGCAGCATCAGATTAAAACTGAGAAGACATAGATATGGGCCTGATTGGTGCAGCTTTTTGTAAACTTAAAGCTGATAATTAGAAAGTAAAAATCAAAAACACCCCTTCCCCAACTTCCAGATAATTAGTTTTTTTCAGCTCATTTTTAGCTATTTTTGCCTAAGCTGTAAGTAGCTCAGATAAGTTGCACCAAACAACCTCATAGAAAATATGTAAAGGGTTTTAACCTGCATATGATCTTGTAGGTTGAAATGATTTATCCTGAAGAAATGGGACCAAATATGATGCATGTTGAAGATTTTTTAGAGAACGGCCTTCCACTGCTTGTTGAAGACATCCAAGAGAGGGTTGAAAATGCTTCTTCAAACATTTGCGAAATTGAGGATTTGAGGTATTCTTTTAGTTCTTTTTAAAGCAAGTCTTGGAAGTTTGATATGTGCTAAAGTATGTTTTGTGACTTGGGCATATCAACTTTTTTATTTTCTTCTAGTTGTATTCTATAACATTAGGAATCTTGATAATGTCTAAAATGGGAGTGTAAAGGTTTCAATCCGGCCATTCTTTATGCAGCAGCTTGAAACTTGATTTTATGCACAACATCTTGTAATCAATTTACAAATTGACAAATTGACATAGTTACCCTTGTGAAGTATTGATGGATATCGTAAAATTATGTTGATGGCATATGTTGATATTGAATTTCCCTTTTCTTTTTGTTTGCTAGTATGCAGATATCTATATGCCTTAACACGGTCATCTCATTTAAAACATTTTCTATGGCAATTGAAGAAATCTTTGGAAGACATGAGTGAGGAAGAGGGCCTTGAAAATAGGAGAAAATCTATTGAAAGAATCAGATGGGTTTACTAAGGTTTTGCATCAGGAGTTTGAGGAAGCTGCTAGGCTTTCACAAGAAAATCTTGAATTACTCAACCATAATTCATTTTTGACACAAAAAAATGAAAAAAAAGAAAGAAAAAAAAAAGGAAAGAAAAAAAGAAACAGACCAAAAGCCATAAGCACTAGAAAATTGTAAATGTAAAGTACTGTTGGATACAAGTAAACCACAGCCGTCAATAACTACTTTAAATTTTTTAAAATTTGATTTGAGATTCACATGGTGGGATGACAGTATATTAGTTCAACTTCTGGCTTAACTAGGATGTTGAAAATGCATTATACTCCAACAAATCCAGTTGCCATGTCTGTTTTTTCAAGGCCAGTAGTTATAGCTAGGATATCACCATTTCAGGGATCAACCTATTGCTGCCTCAGGGATCAAGAAGTCCAGTAGCAGTGTCTCCTTGAACTCTGCCAATTTGCTCTCTCTAGCACGTTACAAACCCACAATCACAAGCAAGCTTCTAACCTTCAGATCCACAGAAGTCCACTTTGCGCTTCCTAGCAATGATTGTGTAGTGCTCTCCAAGATTCTCGCCCAACCTTACAATCACAACTCTATAGACCTGTCAAACTCTCCAAGTCTTATGAAAGTATCTCCCTAAATCACTCACCATACATAGAAGTCATAAGACCTCTATATATAATCAAAAGGGAAATTTAAACCCATAAGGAATAGAACATTCCACAAACTAGATAAAATTACTCGGGAAACATGTGTTTGAATGAAAAAGAGCACTGTTTGAACGGTGGCATCACTGGAGTCGTGTTCTGTAAACAAAACTTAATTAAAGAAGGCCAAGCGTTTGAACTAACTGTTTATTCATTCAAAAAGGTTTTGGTTTTTTACCTCCCAAAAGATACGAAAGAAAAGATGTTCTCGTTTGAATTGTATCATCGTGCATTCGAATGTGCATGCATCTGTCCTTGAAAAAAAAATTAAAGCCTGAAAAGGCCAAGTACAGAACAAACCCAAGGGTTTTAATTCAAAATGCCACGGATAACTTAGCCTATCATTAAATTATATCAATTATGGTCAATAAATGTACCCCAAACAAAAATATAGATATATAACGAAGGCTGCAAATGAATTGAGCTATTCATAAACAACTCAAGCTCAACTCTTTTAAAGCTTGGCTAGTTTGCTACATGAACGAGCTCGAACCAAATTTTTAGTTTAGTAATCGAGCCGAGCTCGAATAGGTTCGTAAACACAAGAATAAATGAATGAATATTTATTTTAATAATTGATCAACTACATTTTTATTAATTTATCAATTTCTTTGTTTATGTATGGTGCTTGTGCAAATATATATTTGATTAATCAAACCTATTAATAATACAAACATTGTTTTATGTTTTGCTCATGATGTTCTATTTTTTCCCCTTAATATGAATTTTAGTAAGTTTATGTTTTGGGTAAACTATCAAGAGGTCCTAATAGTTGGACTTAATTCCCATCAAGTCCTTTTGAAAATAAGTCATAGTAATATCGTTGTTAAAAATAATTTTTTGTGATGATGTTTTGCATGTCGCTAAAAATTGACAATTAGTGACTTTTTTTGTCACGGTTTTTACAAATTGTCGTTAAAACTTATAATTAGTAACGTTTTCCTGTGATGAATTTTTCAAACTGTCACTAAAAGTAAAAAATTAGTGACTTTTTTTGTGACGATTTTTTTTTAAACTATTGCTAAAATTTATAATTAGTGACATTTTTTGTGACAATTTTTAAATTGTTGTTGAAAATTAACAATTAGTGATGATTTTTTAATAATGTTGATGAAAAATGTTATTAATTATCATAGGACTTATTGGACAATAAGTCTACTTATTAGGATTTACACGTATTTCTTCCTTATTTTTTCTTGTCAAGCTCAAGCACAAGCTCGGCCCATTCATGTAAGCGAGTTGACTCAAGGCGAGCTCCAGTTTTTCAAGTACTAGACGAGCCCATCTCAAGCTTGAGCCTGATTGTTTTAGCTCGATTTGAGCTCAAACACCTTAAAGCTCGGCTCGTTTGCAGCTCTAGATATAATACCTAACCCATGCATGAGTCTATCATATCTTGAGATGCAGAATCCTTTAAGCAAACCTTCATAGTATGCTGAGTCTGTGTTGCTTCACTTGAGTCTCCATGGAGTAAGAACTAGCATTGCTCAATGGCACAATGTAAGGTATGAAAATACATACTCTTATCTTTGGAGTGAAATTGCTAACATTTTTCCTAGCAGTTGTGGAGTTTTGAAAGCAAAGTTGTGGTCTATGAGGCACCGACACTTCAAAACAAGTGCTGTATCCGTATCAGACACAAGGACACTTTGGGGATACGCGGACACTTTAGGGACACATATGGGACACACCATATGGTGTGTCTCTTTATTTAATTAATTTATTTTCAGGAGACAGATTGGGGACCCATGAAGCATGGATACGGGTACGAGTATTGGTATTGGTACGATATAGGTACGTCGATACGGTAAAATTAAAAAAAAGTAGAATACGGGTACGACTTTGGTACGTTTGTAAAAAAATATTTATTTTTAATTTGGAATAATACAAAAATTGATTAAATGAATTAATTTGTTAAGATCCAACCTACAATTAACATTTAATGCCAAAAATAAAGATATAAACCAAAATTAAATGTTATTATATTAAATAACTCACAAATTATAACTTAATTTTAAAATCATACTAAGTATAAAATTAAAAATAAAAAAAAAATCTAGTGAACGGAATTTTATTTATATAGCTTAAGAAAATATTGTTTCCATTGAGGTATGGTACGGTTCGGGTATATATTAGGTACGTCTGGATACGTTAAAAATTAAGAAGAAAAAATTTGAATACGTGTTTTGTGTACCCGGTATGTATGCAGATGTACTATAGGAAGTACCATATGCCGGTAAGTACCCGATACGGGTACGACATGTTTGTCAAAGTACCCATGCTTCATAGCTGGGGACACATTAGAGACATGGCAAGTTGTCTTTTTCCCAATTTTATTTAGTATTTTTGATGAATGTTGAATGCTGATTATTTTTTTCTTAGATTTAAATACTTAATAGATCATCTATAAAAAAAGATATAAATTGTAAGTGTTAATTTGAAAGTACTTTTTTTAATAAAAAAAATAGAATTAGAGTTAGTTTTTGTTAATATTGATTTTTTGTGGATGCAATATTAATCCAGATAACAAATAAAAATATATGAAAACATATTTTATTGTCGTGTCCCCGGCTTGTCTGTGCCCCCATTTTTTTGAAATTGCGTAAGTCCCATGTCCGCATTTGTATCTGTATCTACATCCGTATCCGTGTCCGTGCTTCTTAGATTGTGGTTCTAATGGATTTTGATGGGTGAATTCAACTGTTTAATGGCCCTTAAGAGAGCCACATTTTGAGTTTGAGTTTTTGACTTACCACTCCTAGGTATGAACATGGAAGTGGGATATCTTATTAGCAATAAAATTGAGGTCTCCAAATATGTTGAGTTTGGGGAGATGAAGCACCATGGGGCTAAAGGCTAAGGATTTGCATTAACATGAACACCATCCAACCTCATAGCAGCAGAGTGAGAATTTTGTTGGCAGTGCCGGGGAGTGGGAGTAGGGGGGTGGGGGGAGAGGAGGGGTGGGCCAAGCTGTGTGATCTAGACTTAAATATGAACATTTGGTATTGTGGCGCATATTGAGAAGGAATGTGAGATTAGTGTGGATGATGATGAGGCTACAAGGGGGAGGCACATGCAGTATGGGCCATGGATGCGCTTCATTAATTAGAAGCCTCAAGCTTTCCACGTAAAGTGGTTGACTTGAAGGGTGATATCTCTGGTGATAAGAGTGCTGCTGATCATGGTCCTTAGATGGCTGCTGATAATGTGAACACTCTGCATTTTGGACAGATTGGTATGCCTGAAGACCAGCCTTTCCCACCAGCTGAGGGGTGACAGGTAGCTCCAACAAATGAAGACGACTAATTTGGACACAGAACTTCTCCGGAATAGGGGAGGAGGAAGGAGGCGTGGCACCACAAATTACGGGAGGTTACCAGTCCTCATTCTGCTAAATCTTATATTGTGGCTAACATTGGGGAAACTGCTTTTGGGACCTTAGTTTTGAATAGTCAACCTAGCGGGAGCTCTTCTAAGATTGGGGCTAATGTAGATGGAGGTATCCGTTAGAGAAGTGAGTCCAATGGCAGGGTGTCCTAAGGCGTTCTCTTCTCGAGAGGTCAGCGTATGTGGAATGGTGGGGCTTAAGTAAAAGCTAGGGTTGGGAGATGGAAGAAGATAGTTAATGATTTTTAGGGGAAAGGTATGCGGATTGATGAGGTGATGGGTGCTCAGAGGAAGTTGGTTACTGAATATGGGAAGGAACGGATGGGAATTGATGAAGGTCCATTGGAGAAGCAGCCATTTCACATGGAGCAATGTTGTAGAGGGGATGATCTCAATTCAGTGGCATTGGCTGCCCAGCATCCTTCTGAGAGCCATGATCATTGTGTGAAATTGTCAGGGGCTTGGGAACCTTTCAGACAGTTTGGAATCTTCATCTTTTGCTGAAGTCTCAAGATCTGAAGCTGCTTTCCTTTGTGAAACCAACTTCGCAAAGTATTTAACAGAGGGGCTGATGATTTGATTGGGAATTGATAGTGGCTTGTGGGTGGAAAGACTGCGATTGTTTGGTGGTCTGGCTTATTGTGAAAGAATGTTAAGCTTTTGGTGTAGAGGGCATATTGATGCGGTGGTGGAGGACGATGGTGATTCGTGAGAGAGGAACTTGGTGTTTACAGGTTTCTTCGCTAATCCATGTTTGATCGCCCATAGTCCCAAAAGCTTAAGTAGTTAGGAAATGGATACAACAATGCATATCAAGCTTTCCAACACCCTCCATCACATGGCATCCCATTTTGTACATGGTGATGCAAACATTCAAACATGTAGAGAAACAAAATGCAAACAGAAAAACAAATGTAAAAGGAGAGATTTGAACCCGAAGCCCCTCCATGTTGGATCACCCCTAGTCCCAAAAGTTTAAGATATTAGTAAAGGAGCCCAACAATGCATATCAAACTTTCCAACAATCCAGTGGTCTCCAAATGTAAGAATTCCTTAAAATTGCTTCGATGTTTGGCAGCTCACTGTAATTTGCCTTGGCCTTGTGCTGGAGATTTTGAATGAAATTTTGGATAACTGTGAACGACAAGGGAGGGAAGAATGGAGTAGCTAGCAGATGGAACCTTTCAAGAGTGCCTTTTTTTAACTGCAACTGGACCAGGTGTTACTAATGATGAATGGACACACAAATTTTCTGTGTCTGGGGGCACAGCTTCTGGCTGGTATGTCTTCTGATCATCTCCATTGGTATCAGGTGTTGCAAAGGCTCTACAGGTTTGAAACCATATGGCTTAGGTATGGACAATGTCAAGGGCTTGTTGCTGAGGCATCGTGGCTGGAACTTCTGGGAGTCGAGTATAGCATGGATTAAAGACAAAATTGTAAGGACTGGCGCTGCTGTCAACGCATGGAATTGGAGGACCCTTGGGCATGTGCAGAAGCAAATTAAGAACAAACTGTATGCTTTATGGTATGTCACAATTCGTGATGCAGTTTATATTTGAATTTGACGAAAACCTATTATGTAGAGCTTTAGATGGTTGTGACACAACACTTGTTCCCTTTGTTAATTTTAATGAAGGAGCCACTATGACCTGCATTTAACCCTGGGTTTAATTGAAGGCAACTAAGATGAGGCTCTAGCCTCTGCAATATTACCAAGAAAGTGTTCTGTAATACTATAACAGGGTCCTTTTGGATAGATGCGGATTTCAAATCAAGGGATTTGAGGTTAAATGGATAGAAAAACAATGGAAGAAGACAAAAGATATATATTTTAGTAGGATCCTTGTAGCTAGAAAGAGAATCCTTAGCATGATTTCAAATAACTATTTTATAATTATTTCAAATTCATCATGATAAAGTTATTTAACTCAATCTTGAAATTCATAGGTAATCTATCATATTTAAATTTGAGTTATTGTCCTTGAATGATTAAGGTCAAATATCTTGATTTGAAATCGACATCATCCAAACAGACCCTAAAGTATGTCATCCTGGTCCCTAAAATTTGTAAATATTTTAACATGGTAGTCTTCACATGCATGCCGTTGATAATGTGAGGCTGCCACTTTTTAACCACAAACATGCAATTCACACGCCAAATGATTTTTTCAGCAATTTGGTGGGAAAATCCATTTCCTCGCTACACAATATTGTTGGTTACATTTTGTAGTCTATACTTTGCTCTAAAAGAACTTCATTGAGCGTCCAAAAGGTGGTTCATCATATGAAAGTCTAGAACAACTACTCGGAAGGTTTGGAAAGTATGCATGATGACAAATTCACTTATAGGGTAAACTACATGATGACACTGAACTTCCATTGTATTATTGACCAATTATGTCTCTCACTTCAGAGGCTCAACAGAAAGCACGTTAATGCCAATTGGACTCTTAATTTTCAGCAATTTGGTGGGAAAATCCATTTCCTCGCTACACAATATTGGCCCTGTTTGGTACAGCTTAATTTCAGCTTATTTCAGCTTTCAGCTTAATTTAAGCTATTTTGATGTGTTTGGTTTAGCTTATAGCTTATAGCTTATAGCTTTGTGGAAGTCAGAAAATAGCTTATTCTTTAAGTGGGGCAGGAGATGCTTTCAGAATAAGTTGGAAATCAGCTTAAGCTGAAAGTTATAAGCTATAAGCTGTTTAGGCATAAGCTATAAGCACTTTCCCACCGTTCTACCAAACAGGGCCATTGTTGGTTACATTTTGTAGTCTATACTTTGCTCTAAAAGAACTTCATTGAGCATCCAAAAGGTGGTTCATCATATGAAAGTCTAGAACAACTACTCGGAAGGTTTGGAAAGTATGCATGATGACAAATTCACTTATAGGGTAAACTACATGATGACACTGAACTTCCATTGTATTATTGACCAATTATGTCTCTCACTTCAGAGGCTCAACAGAAAGCACGTTAATGCCAATTGGACTCCTAACCCGATGGATACAATTACTCCATGTCAAAGCCCCGAACACAAAGCTTCCATTACTGCTCTTGTAAGGTCTCATATCTATCCTAAAACACATCTTCTCCCCAGTCTTTGAGAACTTGAGCTTGTTCAGTGTTACTGTGACTTTTACACCACTTGGGTAGTCTACTTGTGAATGATAGACTGTCAAAACTTTACCATAATATGTAACTGTACGGTGCACTGCTAAACTTCCACTCATGTTGGAGACGCCAATTGAAGGGTAGTTAAAATCGTAGGAGGGTGTTGGTGGATACTTGCAAGAAACTACCTCGCCTGTGAGGTTTACTATTGGTGAAGGGGTTGAACTGCTACTGCAGAGGAAATCAATGATGTCATTGGAATCAAAATCATAAATCAGTCTGGGATCTACTGCTGCAACTGGATTTATGTGTCCAGATCCATAGTCAAAAGGCGTGGTTGGCCTGTAGGTCTCTTTCAATGAGCTTTTCTGTGTTGTCAAAAATTGTAGCTGTTAGTAGAAATTCTTGTTAGAAACAATTAGAAAAAAAAGGTTGTAAATCACACCATTGGTCCCTCTAGTTTGAGCAAAGTTTCATTTTTCACCCCTAGTGTTTGACCCATATTTCACTTTGGTCCCTATTGTTTCAATTTCAACAATTTGGTCCCTACACTTTTAACTCTAGTTTCAATTTAGTCATTCTGTCTAAATTTCCGTTAATTTTTTCTACGTGTATATCTGAAGAGACTGACAAGTGTCCTAAAATCGTTAATTTCAACCACCAATGTGAACGGAAGGATCAATTAATACTAGACTTAAAAAGTGTAGACACCAAATTGTTCAATTTGAAACAATAAAGACCAAAATGAAATTTGACTTAAACAATGAGAGTTAAAATGTAATTTACCCTTGATTAAATCTAAAATATTGCTCAAAGAAACAATTTACCTGTTGTCATTATTGCAGATTTGATTGCTGCTGGGCTCGATGAAGGGTGAACAGATTTTATGATGGCAGGCACTGCAGAAACGTGCGGACAAGACTTGGAAGTACCAGAGATTATGTTGAAGTCAACAGATTGCTCACCGGTGGATCTAGTTGATACAGGGGACCATGCGGCCGAAATATTCAATCCAGGTGCTGTAATATCAGGCTGCAATAGAAATTTGTAATTGTCAAATAGAACTTTACGCAGTTCAATCTTCAATTTAATGAATTCACCGCCAAAATGAAAAATAGTGAAATTGCTCTTTCTGTTTTTGTGGGTATTGAGGCTGAAGCTTAAAATTTTTGTTGAACCCATTTTTAAGTTTTAGTAAAACATACTTTCATAATGTCGGGATTAATCATATTCGGTCCCATTGAGAACACAGCCAGCAGTGGTGCAGGTTTGGCGAACAAAACTGTAGATGTCGGCTTTATTATAGCAATTGGGTTCCTGTAATAACAGAGTATTTTGAAAATAAATTAGAATAATGTTGTTCTTTTGGATTCGTTTGGGAAGTCAGTTGACTTTTTGGTTATTTTAGTCCGGGAATAAAAAATCTCGTTTGGGAAAAGATTTTTGATTTTTCGACTTTTTTGACCTTTTGTGAGAGAGAATGTAATGATTATAAGTTAAATGTGATGTTTTATTGAGTTAAAAAATTTATTTTATTTTTTTGTAACTAAAGTATTCTAAACTCAACTCAACCCATCTTTCTAAACAGATGCTTTGTATAGTTGTGATTGTCAGACCAATTGTTCTATTCAATACTTACTTTTCTGTGGTCATATAAGCTTGAAGTTGTTGCGTCTCTTCTCGACCATTTGCAGTGGCGGGGATTACATACTGAAAGTTGACATGGTTGACAGGTGGATTGATGAGTATCATCCCAACACCGCCGCCTTGTTTTATGAGAACGGCTTTTGCTCTTCGATTATCCTTGAATGACTCAAGTCCAAACCCGATGATATATGATGTACGGATATGGATACGGATACGATATACGAACTAGTACGATATGAATACATTAATATGGTAAATATTTTTAAAAAATAGGGCACGAATATAGGTTGATATGCGTTAAAAGAATATTTATTTTTAATCTAGAGTAATGTAAAAATTAATTAAATAGTTTTATTTGCCAATGTTTAACTTACAATTAACATTTAATGTTAAAAATAAAGGTACAAATTAAAATTAAATATTAATATATTAACTAACTTACAAATCATAGTTTAATTTTAAAATCATGTTAAGCATAAAACAAAAAATAAAAAAGAAGTCTAGTGAAAATAATTTTATCTCTATAGTAGAAGGAAATATTATTTTAATTGATGTACGGTACGACTATATTAGGTACGTCTAGGTACGTCAAAAATTAAGAAGAAAAAATTTAGTTACGTGTTTCGTATACCCCATTTGTATGTAGAAGTACCATACGAATTGATATATATTGGTAAATATCCAATACAGATACAATATATATTTCGAAGTATCCATGCTTCATAGATGATGATCTTCCCCTTGATTAAGGTAGGATATAAGGTATTGTTCTGGCATAAGCTACTGAAGGTGGAATGGTTTTAGAATACAGATATGAGTGTGTTTGGCAATGTTTTTTAATTTCATTATTTAGATTATAACTTAATCAGTTTAATTAAGGGTAAATTACAAATATACTCTGAGGTTTGCTTAAAATACAGATTGCCTCATGTGGTTTGAAAAATTACAAATACTCTCTTATTAAATTTTTTTATTTAACCAAATTAATTAAAAAAATGAAATTCATAATTGTTCTACTATGCAATAATAGAATTATCTAAATTATTAATTAAAACATATTTTTAACATAATTAAAAACCGTTAATTGACTTGATTATTTATTAATAAAAAGGGCGATTTGTTATGAAATTAGAAACATCAGGGGGTAGAATGTAATTTTTAAAATCATAAGGTGCGATTCGAATTTTAATCAAACCTTAAGGAGTGTATTTGTAATTTACATTTTAATTTTTTAGTATAAAACTTGGTTTTTTTTAAGCAATTCAGGAGTGTTTTTCTAGTTTACTTTTTTAGGGTAAATTACATTGACACCCCTGATATTTTTATTTAATACAGATTCCTCCCTCATATTTGAAAAATTATATTTCCCTCCCTGAAGTTTGTAATCTCATTAGAAATTTTCCTTGGATTGCTGATGTTATATCCTAAATTTTTTTAAATGATCATCTTGTCATTTTTCCAACCATTTTTTCTTCCTATCATCGTGACTATATTTTATAATTTTCTATCATTAAATTTTATATAAACATATTCTTATTGAGTGATGATGTGCAAACATAAATTTTATGTAGAATTTTCAAATACAATGATATAGTTTAATGGTGATGTTCACTTTAAAACAAAAAAAACCCATAAATATGATTTATATTTATAACAATATTACTATCACAATATTTTTATGGTATGTTTTGTATAAATTTTTATCTAGGGTGGTGTTTGGGAACTTGGTTCCCAGATTTTTTTTAAAGGTTTTGCAAAACCAAAAAAAATAAATCCAAACAAAATATCACATTCAACCCCATAATCATTTCACTTTTTCTCTCACAAACATCACATCCAACTACAAAAAAATCCAATTATCTTCCCAAACACTAAATTTTTTTTATCCAATAATATCCTATAACTAAAAAAACCTACATAAAAACCCACTTCCCAAACACTCACATAATTTTTCATTTTTATTTCCACCATTATATCTAGATTAGATTAATTTAATCCAGATATATTTAAAAAGTATAACATTTGTACAAATTTTTTTTTGAAAAATTCATTGAATACAACAAAGTAAGATAATGTATTGAATTTTTGTATATATATTTATATTTTTTTTGTATTTGTATTTGGTGAATGTAAAAAAAAATACAAACTATTATACTTCCTAAGTATATCTAGATTAGATATATCTAAAAAATAAAAAAATTTACTTCAAATATTAAAAAAATTCAGTAAAAATAAAAAAACACAAAAATAAAAATATTCAATTTTTGTGTGTGAGTAAATAAAAAAATATGATTGCTGTTTCCCTTGAAATGACATGAACAAAACATTTGCATTATTTTATTATTTTAAATATATAAAGACTAAGGGACAAATATATCATTTTAATCTGATAGGAGGGTAAGTGTAATTTTTAAAATGTGAGGGGGGATCTGTATAAAATAGAAATCTCAGGGGGTGTTAGTATAATTTACCCACTTTTTAAACTTTTGGATATTTGACAAAAGCCCTCTCAATATTTTTACAATTGTGGGTATAGCCTTTATAAAAAGAATACTGTTATTAACACCTACTTAATTTCTTTGGACTTCTCAATTTTTACTTTTTATTTTTTATTTTTTTATTACAATTATACCTTAAAGTAAAATTACATTAAAGGACAACATTTAATGGAATACCCATCCACTAAATGAAAATAATTAGAATGACACTCTATAATATTATACATCCACCTCTATCCCCATCTATACATATTTCTTATTAACTTAAACTCCAACCCTATTCTTCTTTATCACCATCCTAAACCCACGTATTCATCTTCAATGAAAAACATTTGAAACTAACTAATCAGTTAATGTTTTATTTGGTAGTTTTAAATGTGTTCGGTGTTCCAAATCAGTTAATGTTGCAAATGATTTTCTTACAGACTACGAGTCTCTACATTTGTGATTGTTTTCACCATTTGCTAACATTTATAGAGTAATGGAGGACAATGACAACAACTCTGATGAGGTTGGTGCTGCATTGGTAAGTGTCACAACGCAAACTCGCCCCTATAGGTTTAGCGTTGTAACCGGCCAATAATCTGGGATTACCAAAGGCCTGCTTAATAGTAAACAAAAGTAGGGGCTGGCGGAAGCCAATAATAAAAGAAAAAACGTTCAATGAGCTGTGGGACTTACATGGAACAAAACAACTTTATTTACTATGTACAAATATTTACATAATACATCTCATACGTAAGTACCAAAACATTTACATAACTTAGGGAATTAATTCTCATTAACAAAATTAAACAAAACAAAAGATCTTAAACCAAAACTTCATAACATTTGATCACAATGCAAAAGGATGAATTGAGAACCACCCAAAAGCCTTGACACACGATGGTTTGGAACCCTGCAGTGAGGCACAGTAGTTGGCTTGACAAAACAAGGCTCAGGTCGACACTGCTAAAGTTCAGTTCGGTTCTTGATCACCTACATTTATATATTACAACAATGAGTTAGAGCTCAGTGAATAACAATTATGTAAAGGAATTTATGAATGATGTCCTCGTAATAATTTCAAACAGTCAGTTTCAGTAGTAAATCAATTAACAGGGCAGTATCTCATATATTTCAGAGTCATAATGAAATCATGGCAGTCATACGTGGTATATCCAATAGCAGAACAGTATAGTAGGTATAGCGATTTTGATTTGGACCCCAACCATTTGATGTTTTGGATCTGAGTTTCATTGCCTTGTATAGCCATTTATGTCTTATTTCCCTTATACTTCTTCGAGTTTGGTGTTTAGGTTGTGTTGGTTGCGTTTGGAACTGATTAGTACCTTGTTTTTTAAAAACCTTCTTGCCCAGAATTTTGCTTCTACGCTTGAGCGTTACTTTTTACGCTCGAGCAGTCTTTGCAATCTTTCAGTACTTTTGTAGGTCTGCAAAACTATTGGGAGTTGGTATTCTTTGCTCGAGCAGTCTTGGCTCGAGCGACCTTTATTGCGCTTGAGCGTTGGTCTTCTGTCTATAAAACTACTGGGAGTTTGTATTTCACACTCGAGCGACAACTTCTTGCGCTCGAGTGGTCACATCTTTTGTGTCTTACGCTTGAGCGTCACTTCTTGTGCCCAAGCGGACTGTCCGTAAAAGCCACTTTTTACATTACTTTCACTCTCTCTCTAAACTTTCTAAAAACGTTAGATTTAGACACTCTCTCTCTAAAACTCACATTTTCTCTTCTAAAACACCTAGATCCATTGATTTCTCTACCTTATTTCCTTTGAGAAGAAGGTAGAGCTCACTTAGAGCTTCATTTTCATTCGAACAAAGTTGGGTTTCGGCGGTGTTGAAGTGTCTTCACTCTCTCTCTCGTCTTATACGCTTGAGGTAGGGATTCTTCACACTCTTGTATAAGTTTTACCTTAGTTATTTTCTATTTCAAAGGATTATAGTATTTTGGGTTTTTTTTGGTAAAACCTGGGTTTGAAATCAAAATGATAAAGAGGGGTTTTCAAATAGTCTCGTGGAAAAGCTTGTGGGTATGAAATTGGGATTGATATATGTTGAAATGAGGTATTTCTTACATTGAAATTGATTTTCAAAGAAAAAGAGATTTTTGCCAAAAAATGTGAATATTTGAGATTGTAAAGAGAAAATGGAATTGATATGGAAATTGTGAAATTGAAATGATGATAATGATGAGGGTGGAGTTGGATATGTATTATCACTCCCA